TTTAAAACCAGGTTTGGTTTAAATTTTAGGAACTGGATTATCAGGTTGGGATAAATTTAACACCAGGTTTAGTTTAGGTTCTAAGGCTTGGATTATATTTAGAATTTAAGGAAAAAAAAGCCCCAAATTTGCTCCCAAAACTTCCCAAGCTGCTCCTGAAGGTCTTGCAGGCACCTCTGGAAAAGTCAATCCTGGTCCCTCCTGACCAGCAGAGATTTCTCCAAGGATTTTGTGACCTGGAATTGAGCCAGACTCAGGCACAGAAATTCCAAATTCCATCCCCAGCACTGAGGATCCCTGAGGGTTCACCAACACTTCCAAAACCCCTTAAACATCCCCCAAAAACCCCAGGTTCAGGACTCAGCACCCCAAATTAGCAATTACTGCTCAAAAAAAACAATTAAACATTCCCCCAAAACCCCAGGTTCAGGACTCAGCACCCCAAATTAGCAATTACTGCTCGAAAACAATTAAACATTCTCCAAAAACCCCAGGTTCAGGACTCAGCACCCCAAATTAATAATTAAACCCCTTAAACATTCCCCAAAACCCCCCAGGTTCATGACTGAGCACCCCTAATTAATAATTAGTGCTCAATAAACCAATTAAACATTCCCTAAACCCCCAAGTTTAGGACTGAGCACCCCTAATTAGTAATTACTGCTCAATAAACCAATTAAACATCCCCTAAAACCCCCCAAGTTTAGGACTGAGCACCCCTAATTAGTAATTAGTGCTCTAAAACCCCTTAAACATTCCCCTAAAAACCCCAGGATCATGTCTGAGCACCCCTAATTAGTAATTAGTGCTCCCACTTAACGAGCAGCTCAGGAGGAATTCCCTAAAGCCGTGATCCCCAAGTGATTTTCTTGCTCATTAAATCTGGAAACAATTAATGGGGGCAGCAGAAGGTGCTGGATGCTCCATTAATATTCCCCTAATGAGCTGAGCCCCCAAAAAAAACAACCCAGATCCAGTTTCACCTTCAGGAATTCTGGGATGGAAAATATGGAATAATGAGATCATGGAATAATGAGATCATAAAATCATGAAATCATGGAATAATGAAATCATGACATAATGGAATCATGGAATAATGAAATCATTAAATCATGGAATCATCATGGAATCATCATGGAATAATGAATTAATGGAATCATGAAATAATGGAATAATTAAATAATGGAATAATGGAATCATAAAATCATGAACTAATGAAATCATGGAATAATTAAATAATGGGATAATGGAATAATGGGAATAATGGAATAATTAAATAAGGGAATAATGGAATCATAAAACCATGAACTAATGAAATCATGGAATAATTAAATAATGGGATAATGGAATAATTAAATAATGGAATCATGAAATAATGGAATCATAAAATCATGAAATAATGGAATCATGAGATAATGGAATCATGGAATAATGAAATCATTAAATCATGGAATCATCATGAAATAATCATGAAATAATCATGGAATAATGAATTAATGGAATCATGAAATCAAGGAATAATGGGATAATGGAATAATGGAATCATGGAATCATAAAATCATGAACTAATGAAATAATGGAATAATTAAATAATGGGATAATGGAATAATGGAAAAATTAAATATGGGAATAATGGAATAATTAAATAATGGAATAATGGAATCATAGAACGATGAACTAATTAAATAATGGAATAATTAAATAATGGGATAGTGGAATAATTAAATAATGGAATCATAAAATCATGAAATAACGGAATAATGGAATCATAAAATCATGAACTAATGAAATAATAAAATCATGGAATAATGGAATCATGAAATAAAGAAATCCCAACACCCCAAATGCTGGAGCAGTGAATTTTAATTGACCTTTTTGTTTTCTGCACTCAAACTCTTTTCATACACAGAATATTTTGATTTATTTCCAGCCTCCTTTCCCTCCTGATGCTCCCCAGGGCTGAAATTGTTTCTCCAGGTGAATTTTGAACTGGGAATTTATTCCAGGAATTTCTCTTTCCCATTAATTCTCCCCTTTCAGCACAGGCAGCAATTCCCCATTTTCCTTCAGCTCCTGAAAAACACAAAATGCAGAAATTATGGATTTTTTTGGGATTATCCAAGGGAATTCCAGCAGGAAATGCACTGGTGCCTCACTAGAGATTTAATCAAATAATTCAATTCTCTATTTAGTAAATAAATATTAATATTTAGGGAAAAAAA